ATCAAAATTTTTGCTTGTTCTAAAAAATCCTGTTTATACTTTTCCGAGTTTCCATACCGTTTTACAGGAAATTAAAAAAAAAACATGAAAATCTGGTTGATATTTTTCTAGACCCTAGACCCCCGAGTACTTCAGCCGGAGACAAGCTCCTCGACTATTAACGACACGGAGGGCCAAACCCTAACCGTGGAAGATTGTATACCCTCGTAGGAGGTATATGTCCACTCCTCGGAGGAAGAACATCTGTTATAAAAAGTGGATGGGAAATACCCTGTCCCCCCTACAACAGGAAAATTCCCATGTATGAGTTATAGACTGTATGATGAGTTATAACTCAAGAAAGAGGAACATACTATATATTTAAGTTCGTTAAATATAATTCTACATGGTGATATAATCAAAATTATATTACCTACAATTTGTGTCCAAAAAAATTCGTTCTAAATAATAACTGGCCACTTTACCGAAAAAGTACTGTCGCACATTTTACGGTATTTTTTATTCTCTTATAAACGATTATTTTTACGATCAAAATAATCTCGTTCTCTTAGAACAGTCGAAAATAGGTTTATAGGCAATTAAAAGATACGAGTGCTCGGCACGAAATAACATAGAAATTTAATGGCATATATTCTTCGCCAATTTATCATTCTATTGTATGGTTAAGTTTATGTGCATTGATCACGCCATTTATAGTTCTTGAATAATTTTATATTTGATAAAAAAGTTTATTTTTTTATTTCTCTATCTCTTATTAGTATAAGCAAAATATTTTGACTGAACGACAACCATGTAATGAAGTTTGGTACGATTGATATCGGAGATGGAGAACCAACCTCTGTAAACCCGTCTCAGATACTGGCTTTTGTCAAAGCCCTGAGACTGTATGATGAGTTATAACTGAAGAAAGGGGGACACGATAGATCTGTAAGGTTGCGATTTACAGATCTGTAAAACTTTGATTGCAAACCATTTATAGAATTGGTTAAAATTATGCTTTAAGGTTGATTCTCACTATATCTTCCATATCAGCTCCCTTCCGTTTACATAAAATATGATATCATGTAAATGAATAGGACAATACACACTATCCGTTCCGTTTCCCTTCCGTTCCATATCCTTTGACATTTTCGGGCAGATTTGTCCAAACTTCGTTAATTTTATCTATCAAGGATTGTTTATTTGGAAACATTTGGGTACGAATACGACGTTCTACTTCTTCCCAGAGATTTTCAATGGGGTTAAGGTCTGGGTATTGTGCTGGCCATTGCAAAACTCGAACGTCTCATTTTCCCTAAACCACTGTTGAACAACTTGTGAAGTGTGTTTTGGATCGTTGCTTCGGCGTCGCTTCATAATGATTTAAAACAAATTGTATTGGATATACTAACAAACCCTTGATAACAAACTTTATTTAATTGTAACTAAAAACCCTCCGATGTTATAATACCTGGCTTTCCGCATCCAAACATAGAACGCGCTCTTGAAGGGGACGCTGGAAGGGATCCTTTCCGGCACGTAGTTATCTTCGTCGATAGTGTCCGTCATTTTGACGAACAACACGTCGTCGTCGCGATAAAAAACAAAAGGGGGGATCTACTTGAGGAGCCCTATTTTGGGGCAAAGTTTCTGACACACGATGCCCGAAGCGGCGGTTGAATGAGCGACTGGCGGCGGGGATGTATTGTCGTTGGGCGACACGAAATTGACTGAATAAAATATGAACGTATTATTGTCGGGAGCTAAGGGGATATTCCCTGTAATAAGCTTTAGACACGTAGCCGTTTATACAGGGTCAGTCTTAAATAAAGGCTTTCAATATTTAGACGTATACTCTGTTTTTTTTCTCAGATAAGATTTCGACAGACGGTGACAGAAAAAAAGCAGATGAGGTCCCATACCAATCTATTTATTTTACTAAAAAAAGTTTCTAATATTTTTTAAGTTAACTATGGATGGGTTTAAATATATGTATATTATTTATTTTTTTATTTTATATAGTCTCTTGTTGTTTTTAACCAGTTTTATTGATTTATTTCAAAATTGACAGATCATATTTCAATTTTATTGGTTTGACGGAACGATGAACGTCAAACGGACGCCGATGCGTATGAACTCGCCTTTAGATTTTTGAAGCTTGTCAAAGTCTTGCCAAATTATAGGTTATAATTTTGTGTCAACTTATGTCAAATATCTGCGTATATTTCGACCCGAGAAAAACGTCTGTCATAATACATTTTTCGTATAATTGGCTATTTAAATCCGTGTATATGTGGGTTATTTACGATATTCTCCGATGGTGACAACACCAGCCTATACTGAACATTTATGAATATTGAATTTCGGTATTGAAAAAATAATTAGTACAAAACTCTAATACGGATTTAAAATATGAAGGATTTTTCATAACTTAAAAAAAATTATTAATATTAAACAAAAGTAGTTGAAATGCATAGGACTATCATACAAAAACACCCTCTTAACATTGGTAATTGTAATCAATAAAATATAGATTAGTGAACAACGATATAAAAGCCAGGCCAAGCTTTTCCATATATGTATGTATGTTTGTAGTCACACAAATTGAGGTAACGTGGAAAAATTATTTGTCCATTACAATTAATTATAATTACATCAAATACTGGTACGATCGAAAATAAATTTATTTCCAACTCAGTCTGGATATAAACTAGATTAGTTAGTCTGTATATAATCCAGAATAATTGTATTATTAGTTGATTTTTGATCATATAAAGTATAAATATAACGTCTTATTTTTTTTATTAGTATTTATGGAAAAAATGTCAAAAAAACCTTCTCAGAAAAATAAGTAATCGTAGGAAACAATTGGAGTAAGTGACTTCAATACTAAATACAATAGACCTGAGTCTAAACGGTCCTTAAGAGTCTATTACGCTGTACTGTTGGGTCGCTATCAGGGGTGGGGTAAAGCGGGTGTGTGGCAGATGAAAAGATATATTATATTTCAGAAATCTGCCTAAGGCTTAGCCCGATCCTGTCGTGTTAAGCCACACCCAAAATTCCAAACACACGTGCTTGGATTAAGGCTTGATTAAGGTTTGCAGATCTTCAGCATTTGCCATAAAATAGCGAGCAATTTGTGACTAAACCATATAAATTATATATCACTGTAATCACAAAACTTCAATCTATTTCCGTATTGTAACGGAATTTTAAATTACGTCTTTATTTTCGAGAAAACTTAGTCCAAACATAAGCAATATTTTGTTGATGTTGTTTTGACCATAAAAATCTTAAAAATAAAGAAGTTGTCTAAAAATGTGCTACACTACGGATATAGTATAATGTTTTATCTTTAATTTTCTTCTTAATTTGTGTAAAAATACCTAGCCAGTTTTACCCCAAGCAGCATTTGGACGTCGGGACAACGTTGTGTCACGCGACCAAACGTCGTGGCGCAACATCGGCACAACCTCGTGCCAACCCTAGTCTGCACTAGTTTGCAGAATAATTTTTGGGTCGAAACGACGTTGGATACCGACGTTGGCTAGCAGCCTAATTTAGTACAAACTGCAACGTTGTTTAAAATCCTAATTCACAGAAATACAAAACTATAATAATATGGCGTTTATCCTATAAGTCGCGTTTTATCCTAAATTGGGATAATTATAGTAAAAATATTATTTTTATGATTTAGTTAAGAGACATATGCCAGATGGCAGTAAAGGAAAACAAAACAAAAGTATTTAAGTGTGGAGGATGTTTGAAGATCATAATTATTGAAACACTTTAACCGACTCTGTAACTCGTTACCCAAGGCAAAAAAGTAAAACGCAAACAACTTTATTGATAAATGTATTGTTTCTACTTTGAAAAATACTAATGGGCCTTGAAATTAAAGAAGTTTTAAAAAAATTCTTGAATTTTTTTTTTAGTAAAATGAGAATAATTTATTCGCAGTCGAAAAAATTGTTTCCGCGTGTGTGGGTCAAATATTTCAAGTTAATGTATTCAAAAAGCAGGAATTGCTATTTTAGGAACGAAACATTTTCTTATTCAACAACATGGCGGCTTTCACTTTGTTGTTTTGGAGATTAAGATGGAGTAGTTCGAGTAGTCGCATACTGGACTAATAAAGTCGCAGTTCAACCTTAACAGGTAGCATACTAGTCGCAAGATTGCCTAATTTAGTCTAGCTTGTGCCGCCCTCTATATTCTAAATAAACGAGGGAGTGGATAAAGTGTCGGTAATATGTCGATGTATATTTAAATTTAGTTTTATATGTACCTTTCTTATGTCCTCTATTTTAATTAAGTTTTTTTTATAAAAACAAAAACAGCACTGAACTGTCTGACTGAAGAGAACAATGAAGTAAAAATTTAAGATTAAGGTTATGGTTCAATACAGTTGCAAAAAGGTAGTGGCTCGACGTCCTACCAACGTAAGAATAAGGAAATCTAAACAACGTTGGAATTAGTAAAACAGACGACGTTTGCATAACATTGGAATAGGTCCTGAAAGTGACGTCGGAAAACTCTTTATTGCCCAACATTGTAACTACGTTGTCCGAATCACCTAAAGATCACTTAAGCAAAAAAGGTTACAAGACAACGTTTATTCGACGTCGCAGAAGCTTTTACTTTGTTGTAGTACTAGTTCAACGTCGGCACAACGTTACAACAACGTTTACATTTATTTTAATACCCAAGGTACGGAGCTAACTATTTTTTGTAACTAATACAACGTTGTGTTAAATGCCGAACGCTTATTTTGCTACTTTATCGGACTAGTGAAATGAACTGGTCTAGCCTTATCGTAACTCAAGTCTTACAGATTTATACGTTTTGTATAAAAATAACAAATATTAAAAAATAACTCCCACAAACTTGTCTGGACTGTCCAGAAAAAGTCAAATAACACTAAAACAAAAAGTAGTATCCGAGTTCTTCCATAGTTTTTCTAATTCAATGTTACTAAATAATGTGAAGAATTAACCAGTTTCTATGTAGGTCCTTACCTCTCTTGATGCTGGATCTCCTTGAGCATGATGTCAGCTATAGGGTCGTGCAAAGGCCTCTCCCCTAGGAGGCGTTGTCTGTCGGGGTCGGCCTGCATTTGAGCAAAGGTCCCAGCATCACCAAGAGCGACCTCTAGGTGGGATCCGATGGATAACGACTCATCGTCAGCTAGAAGAAATGAATAAAATTCCTTATTAAACCTCTTATTTTTTTAGAAATCCAGCGTTTAACTGTAGCCAAACATATTAATTTTTATTATGCTTTAAGCATAATAAAAATTAAGCAAAAGCTCTGTATCAGGATTCCTATTTGAGATTTTTACTTCAAACCTTTTACAAAATATATGTTTAATGGTAGTTCACATTTCAAAAATATTTTTATAGATATACAGGGTGAGTCAAATATATATATATCTATATTTGTTTAGTTCAGAAAATTTGCTATAAAATTCTGGTTCCAAAATAAAAAAATATACTAAGTGGTTTTTGAATTATGACCACAACCATGAGGACGTCAATCTAGACGTCCAGGAACCTTCGTATGAGAACTTCTAATCGAGACGATCGACTTATTCAAACTTTCACCAAAATATCAACATTTTGTTTTCCCTCGTATAATTAACAGATGGGGAGTTTCATTTTAATTTAGAAAAAGATACTAAAAAGTCAAATAATTTGGCTACACACTGCTTAAAAAATCATCAAAATCGGCCCATTAAAACAAAATATATTAACCTTTAAAATACATCAAAGTTTTAAGGTTCCGATTTTTCGTGCCGATGAATGTATTTCAAAAACTATACATTTTAGTCATATACGTTTCTAATAAAACAAACCTTTATTTTTTTACTAGAATCCAAAAATCAATAAATACATAGGGTGTTCCATTACAAAAAAACATAACTTTGATGTGTAACTTTTTTTGGGGACACCCTGTAGAACTCTACATAATTTTAGAAAATGCTTTAAATTGACTTACATAAGCTCACAAAATTTAACTTCAGTACAAACTTCTCCTTGCAAAAACGTATATTATTATTATTTATATATTGTTCTCCTTGCAAACGCGTCGTATATGTCGCGTCACCCTATATAATTCGATTTCAATCAAAATTTCAATGACTGGAATATAAGCAGAATAGGTATAGCTTATGTATTAGATTTATTTACTTCAATAAATTTACTTAGAAAAAGAATTGAAAAAATCAATAAATTAAGAAGGAAATAAATAAGAATTTACTAAAATTACTAAAATAAAAAATTAAAAGCAACGAAAAAAATGGGTAAACATTTTAGTATTTTATCTATAAAACACAATACAAAAAGTTTCACAGTAATTGAATTCCGAGGTAAAAGTCTCTGGTTACTCCACTATTAATCAACTCATAAAATCATAAAAAAAATAAATTTAAAAAACTTCAAAAAAGAGAAGAAAATCAGACTCAAATATACTTACAGAACCAATCAAATCCTTCATTAATCATATTCCTTTGATTATAATATAAAAATAATACGAAATTATACACTTTTTTCACAGGATTAATAATAATTTGAGTTCATTTTCATATTTTACAGTTTGTAAACTTGAAAACTAAAGACATCTCTAAAGACATCAAGGAAAATACACACTAATAACTCGCAATTGGACCAATAAAGTTTTAATCTAAGTTAATTAACCTGTTATGTGTTACTTTTAAAACGTAAATCTAATTTAAGAAGCAACTATTCAAAATTATCAAGTTTAAAAACAAAATTAGACACAGATAAGGTGTTTTCGACTATTTGAAGACATTTTTAAAAGCATTTGAGGGTGAAATATCGTTAAAATTATTGTTTCCTTACCGTGTAATGTGTGTTGCGGGTTGTCTATAATCCTGATTTGCCGGTCAGGCATTATAGGCTCGCCATAAAAACCGCCTATATCACTAGGCAGTTGGTATCTGTAAATTAAGAACTTTTTGAAATACATACAGGGTCATTAAAAAAAGTTTATGTAGAACTTTTTTTAATTTTATTACTGTTATACAAATTTGCCTACCAAACAAAAAAATGCTTAACGTTTTATTTCAAGTATTTTATTTATTACGAGTAGAAAAAATATTGTGCTGGGTTCGCGTTGGTTTCTATGTAATTTGACAAATAAATAAAGCTGTCTCTTTAGTTGTCAGTTTTGAGTCAATATTTTTTAATTCTTTTTCGTGTCGATTGCTGATTGAATTGGAGCCAGAAATGGCTCAAAACGAAATAAGTAAATTACCAACAGATATTCGGGCTGAGGCGACAAATGCCATATCCAAACTACTTCCATTTAAATCCCGAATAACTTATGAAAAGGAATACAAACATTTTCAAAAATGGAAGCAATTAAAAAACGTGCGAGAAGAAATAAAGTTTTTAACCTATCCTCGCTGTTAAAGTATCATTTAATCTACCCTTGCGGTTAAAGTACTATTTTATCTACTATTTTTGATAGACATAAGGCAATTTTAACAGTTGCTATGAAAAAAAAATGAAGTATGCGAACAAATACGAGAGGCGCTTTATTTACTTTCATTTTCTTAACATGACAGATGAAGTTTTAAAAGGGGATGTTTTGTGATTCAAATGTGTCAAATGAATCGTCAAGCAGAATTATCAAGGATCCCCACCCTAGGGCCCTATGTCCTTCTACCATACATGGATGGCATTATACTCCTGCCAAAGAGTAGATAAGACAAGAGACGACAGTTCGCGCGGTACCTTTCATGTTTGAGTGGTGGGGAGAGTGACCTCGTCTCGCTTGTCCCTTTAAATTTTCGTAATTTTTTCGCGGGAAATTTGAAATAGACTATTATTAAAACTTACTTGTATAGCTTATGAATAGTTACTGTATGGGTAAAGGAATAAGTAGAAACTTAAAAAAATGAGTTTTCTAAATATTATATAAAATAAATTATAATTAGAAACATATTTGTCGGGGAATAAAGATAATAAAAGCAATATTTTGTATATCGTTGGTAAACAAGATCAAGTGACCAAGTCGATTTGTAAGAAATGTTTTATTTACGTGTATTTTTTTACATATGGACTTGAACAAGTGTAAAATCACAATGTGGAGTTTATGTACAAAAAATAGAGTTGCTCAATTTTTTTTTGTAAAAATATATTACAAGCTTCTAACCATGTCTTCGATCTATGGATTACATTTAGTTTAATAACATAATTATATAGTATATTCCTATAAAAATTCTATTCAGGATCGTTTGGAAAAGAGTGAAATATTATGTTTGTCGAAGAATAAGACCTATTTTTGCAGTCTTTATAAGCACACAGACTGCCACCATCTCGTCTTTTCCTGTTACTCGTGTCCTGTTCAGTATTCATATTTAACAATATTTACAAATTAGTACGCAACAAAAACGATACTAAAATTAAACCTTAAAAACTCTCAAAACGATAATATATCGAAAAACTCTGAAAACACACTTTAAAAAGGCAAAAAAGCAAGAAAACAACTAATCAGATTTGTTTATGTTTAAGCCTGTATAGCACAGCTGATTAGCGTCCTAAAATCATAGGTTAGATTAGATAAAATACGCCGTTGTCAGATTTTGAGATTTTATCTGTTTATCTTTGAAATCGATCAACTTAGTCATTCTGTTTCTTTGATATTATCAGTACATTGCGAAAAAAGAGAGGTGTCTAGCCCTAGCAGTCAACTTTTAAGCTTGACCAATCAGGTTGGTTAGCGTGGTTATTTGAAGTGTGTTAATTCATTTGTGTTTGTCAAAAACTCTAACGTGATTGGTCGGACTTAATAGTTGCCTGCTAGGGCTAGGCACAAGTGAAAAAAGAACCTAAACCAACCCAAACTAAAAATTTACATTTCCGTATTAACATACGTTACTTATATCCTTCTTATATTATTAATTTATTTTCAGAAAATCTTGTTTATTTTTCAAAGAAATATTCTTGGCAACAGACAAAATGGGACCTTTAAATTTTAATATATCTGCGTCTCTCTCGCGAAATTCGACATCTTTGTTCACTGTCGTCTCTTGTCTTATCTACTCTTTGCTCCTGCCTTAATATTTTTATTCAAAGACAATAACACAGAGAGATGTTATGTGTTACACGGTTCGGCAACTAGACATACGTACCTAGCCGCGCTCTCCTCCTGCTTCGACCTCGGGAAGTACAAAGGCAACAACACTTCGTATATACCTAAATCTAATTTGTCAACGACGAATATCACAGTGTCGAGGGTAGCGCCGTGCGTCTCCATGAATCGGCGCACCGTGCGCAAAGCTATGTGCGCGCCCTGGTCCGGGGGGTAGTTCCTCTTCACGCTATTGATGACGGGGATGGCCAGGGAACGGATGTTCAGTTCCTTCGCTTTTTGAAGGACGTTTCTGGACAAATAGAAACGAAAATATATAATTCTGTTATTATCAATCATATACATACATATGGTGTCCCAAAAAAAACTGCCTGTCAAAAAAATCGGTATAGCCTAAACGAGAGATTTAGTGATTACTACTAGCCACTGTGGCATAAATAGAAGACATCTGGCTAACTATTTCAAAAATTGAATTGTGCGAATGTCATATAATATTGGCCGTAGCATGGAATTGAGCGAAATTAAAAAATTATCATAAATATTTTTTTTCAAATGGAAACCAGCTTTTTTATTTCACTAGTAAAAAGGTTTTTTAAATCGTTACTTTTTGATTATATGTACAGGGTGTCCCACTAAGAAAAGCTCTCGGCTGTATCTCGGAAAGTATTAGCCGTAGGGGCTGCGGAAAAAAATATTTATAACTAAAGAGGCTATGGGAAATTGCTGGAAATTATTTTCAAGTTTGTAGAACACAACTGCACCAAAAAATAACAAAAAGGAGTTTTTACACAATTTTGCCTAGATAAGGTGTACTATAAGCAATAGTTTCATAATATTCAGTAAATTTTGAATATTTTTTGTTAAAGCCATTTTCCCCTATCTACCAAAATAAGTGGTGGGGGAAGGTTACATCTGTTTTTATTTAAATATTAATAACTTTGGACTGGGTGCTCAGAATCCAACAAGCGAGGGCTCGTTTAAAAGAGCGTTTCTTACTCCATATTGTACCATATAAACAATAATAATAAGTTTTTGAACGCAGACGCTAGAGGGCGTTGTCTTACAATTTAACAAACATTGCGCGTTTTTTAAAAAAATTAAATGCAATAGTATATGTAATTTTAGCTGATAGTAAAGAGTAGTAAAAGCTTAAAAAGTCAGTGAAAACCGCATCTTGATATCTTGTTTCAAACCGAAGATATTAGCAAAATTATAATAAATAACAAAAAATAAGCCCTTAATTACCTTATTTTTACAACACGGTATCAGTAGCCCTCTTAATTATGCCCATTCTAACAAAAAAATAAGATAGAAAGAGTTAGTTTATTTTAAAATCGACGAAATACCATAATACCAGAGGTATTAATATCTAATAATTAAGATATTAATAACAGTGAACAAGAAACGATGATTCAGTGAAATCATGGTAGGCTTTAGAAAAAAGTTGCTTTTGACGTAATAGTATAAACGTCAAATTGTTATTAAATCAACATTTTGATAGTCTTATCAGCGTTTTTTTATCTTTTGATTGCTTTTTCAAAATGCCAACAACTCCAACTATTTCAAATAATAAAGCCAATAAAAAATGAGGGTACCCGTTTAAAATAAGAAAGATGCTGTCAACTTCCGGTACTTCGCGTATATTGAAAATACTTTTAATCGATAGATCTCGTTGTGAAACAGTGGTGTGCAAAAAATCTCCGATCTAGATATTGTAGTTCTCTAAAATCTTCTAATGTACGTTCACCCTGGGACACCCTGTATAATTGACAGTATTAACAACTGTTGAAGAATCCGAATTTTTTAAGAGTTTTTGAAATAAACGAGTTTTTTTTCTTTTTTTAATCTTTCTTATTTATTTTATAATAAGTTTTATATGCAAGGTATATAAATCTGAAAAGACAGTGTGTCAGGACTTGAACTATAGTGAGATTATGATAAATCTTTATTACTTGAGCAGCTTGCGACAAAAATTATGAAAAATAATGTACAGTGTGTCCCGTTTTCGCGTCTTTTAGGAGTTTCGCGTTTATATGTAGATATACAAAGATGCGAAAAAGTAAAAACTAAGCCCAGCATAAAAAATTTCACGCAGAATTCAGTGGCGCAAGTAGTTTTTGGTGATCGTTGTTGAAATATGACCCAGACTTATGTTTATTTTTAAACAGGACACCCTGTGTATTTTTTTTATTTTATTTGCCTTGTTATGAACTTTCTAAAAATATACTTATTTTAATAAATAGGGTAAAAAATGCACAAACTTTTAATAAATGCACCCAGACAGCCTTAATCTTTCGATCTATCCCACTTCTGATGTTAAAACTATGTTACATGGTTAATGTAATAAAAAATATCAGATTTATTGATAATATCACGCCTCACGAGCTGCCAGTGCCGCAGTTTCGCTATCATGAAGTTTAAAAATATTTATTACAGTAAAGTCTAAATTGGAATTTAACATTTTTATCTAAATGATGAATTTAACCCCTACAAAAATGTCGAGAGACATTTTTTGTATAAGATGAAATGCTTGTGGGACGTGAATTATCACCGAGACGCCAAATATGATAAAAATAAATAAAAAAAAAACATTAAAAATATATCAAACAAAAAAACAGCAGTCAAAAAATGATTACATTACAAATTATAATAAAAATGATTTGTTTTTTACCTTACCTGTAACACATATGGAGAGTGTTTTCGGAAGCCGTTTGATATTTGATATTGTACTTGGGGCCCACAGTGTGAATTATATACCGGGCGGGTAAAGAATAGCCCTGCGTCACTTTTACCTCTCCAGTCTGACACTCTGTAGAAGAATAAAACGTCAAAAATTCGGTATAAATAAGCATAGAATGTTAATTATTTTTCAAAAACATTTTTCATTGATACTTTTAGAATAAAATTGATACCTCTAACATCCATTCTAATTTCTTCTTTCAAATTTGGCCCAGCCCTATGGAATATGCTATCGCTGACAGGGTTGCTGTCATTCAGCGACTCGTTTGTCGAATTGACTACAGCGTCAACTTGTAACGAGGCGATATCGCCATCCCTAGAACAAATTAAATAAAGTTTTTCAAAAAATACATATCAGTTGGACACACCTTTCGTGTTCATTATTTTGTAAATATTATTATCTATGAACAATGTCATTTCAGGATTTAGAGTTTTAGGAATTGGAATTTTTAAACTTTTATTGTTATTGTTAAATAAATATACAAACCACACCTTGTTGTTAAGGTTTTAACTAAATGTATACCAAAGTTCTTACCACAAAATTATTTTTCTGTTGATACTGTCGTCCAATGGAAAGGGGGAAGAATTAGGTAGCTTGGGCCCCCCAGAGGGTATGCTGACGGTGGTGTGCATACCAAGTGGGGCATCTCCCCACCTTGGTAAGTCCTTGAGGCGCACTAGAGGCGCAGGGATGCCCAAAGGCTCGGGCTCCATCACAATTCGCATTTAGGACACCTGTAAAATCACAAAAAATGTTTTAATTTTAAATTTATATTTCAGAAAATGACATCTTATTTTGTCACACAGATTTAAAATTTTTAGTGTTTAAACTAAACAATTCATTAAAAAACAAATATTAGCGTTTTTGGTCAAGTCATTGTCAAAAATAGTATACTCCAGCAAATGTCACAGTTATTAATATAAATTATGTATATATTTTTTTCTAAAAAATGGAATGTTTTATATAGCACATTTTTTTTAATTTCAAAATAACGATATATACAGGATGTCCCAGAAATAAGTGTAACTATTTTAAGAGGTGATAGATCTCGATAAAAGAAACATACTTTCTCTTTATCGTTTTTCAAATAAGTCCAAAATAACGGAGTTATTTTACTTTGAAAATTTCCAAAAAAATGATTTTTTGCCAAAATTTTGAGAACCACTGGATCTTTTCTGGATTTTCTTTCTTGTAAATTTAACCTAATATCTATGTTGCCATATTATCAAGAAATTATGTTTTTTAGCTAAAAACTAAAAAAATTTCCAAAAAATTTTTCAAAAAATTTCGAATTTTCAATTTTTTTTTGCGAAAAAAAACTCATAGGCGTGTTTCTGGGGTTGAACTAAACTACCAGTTAAAATATTTGCACTTATTTCTGGGACACCCTGTGTATGTACTATGTCAGTGCCCATCTACGTTTCCGTATTTCTCTGAGATTCAATCAAATTATTCACTCTAGAAAATTAAAAGTAAATATCGTATGATTGAAAAAAACGGCGTTGGGAATGACAATGATAATTTTGGCAAGGTCAATCTCTAGATGTCATTTACTAAAAATTGACATAAAACTTGCCAAACCAAAATGATTATCGATTGTTATTCCCCAGCTGTCTTTGACGTCGTTTTTTTCGATCGTATGGTACAATAACCCCAAGAACCATGTTTTATAACTATTCAAAAAAAAACAATGTTTTAAGACAGAGCATTAAAGAAAAAAAATGATATTAATTAGGAATGTGTAAAAATATCGATATATCAATATATCGATTTTTTCGAAATAATATCATTATATCAACTTACAGGTGTAAGTGAATAAGCACGAAAAACTTTGAAGGTGAATGTAATCACATTCTTTACCTGTTGAATGTAAAACAAAAAAATCGAATAATTATTTTCTATAAATTAAACAGTTATTACACCCTAAAAAATAAATCAGCATACGCTACTGTTATACTACGATTAAACTAATATATTTTGAATGCTAATTATACTCGGTATAATTCTGAAATAGCAAAAATTTTTAAAAAATCGATAAGAGAGTTCCAAACATATGACGCAAATCATTTTTTTCAATGACGCTAGTCTTCGTTAGGAGGTTTATTTATAAAACATAAAATATTTTAGAAACATACGACGTCTAAAAATATAAAACACACAAATTATGTAGAGATTTAAAAATACTTTAAAACAGTTTATTTGCCTACAATTTTTTATACAAGTTAATTCAAATTATTTAACAAAACCATTACAGTTTTTGACTAATAAAATATATGAGATAAATCACTATTGTCTCTAAAGTCCCGCATACACATAACGTTTTCCCTGTCAGTCTTCCCTGTTCAGTCAAAACGTATGAAGTAAAATAATGTGTAGAGAGAACGGACGTTTTACTTGAACTGAATTAAAACGGAAGACAATATAAGTAAATTTACAAAAAAATAATATGAAGATATTACAGCGACTTTTAAAAACCTAATATTTTTATTTTCACAAAATAATGTGAATTTACAAAATTCTTTGGAGATATTTAATGTTTACTTCCACAGGTTTTGTATGTTTACAAACGAAATTTAAACCATAAATACAATTTTGCAGTAAAATGACATATTTATAATTTTCAATTTCATTAAACACAATACACACAAAAGCATGTACAGTGCATCCTCCACGATTTTTACTAAAAACTGATCTAAATCAGCAGGTAAAACTTTAACGGTATGTACGCTAGTTTTTCATCCGTCTTGCCTGACAGGTAAAACGTTATGTGTAGTGAAGACTTTAACGTATATTTTCTAAAATTTAAAAATAACTATAAGTGAGTTAAAAAATCGGAAAAAACTGGTTTTATTTAAACAAATATTAAAATAAATAAAAAAATCCACCGAATAACCTTGAATAATAATGCAAAAATACTTTTAAAAAAGTTAATTACTTACAAAAACAATTTATAGAATTACCACAACGTGTTTACTACGAAGGATTAATTTTAAAACTACAAAATTAATGAAGTTTTAACAAAGTACTGTTTGAGTCTAAATTTATTACATTATCGAGATATTGTCTTATCTTTCAATAAATACAATTTTATTATTACCAGTTTATTGACTTTTATAAACAGTTCAAATAATATTTTATAGTAGGGGCGCTAAAGATACTAAATGGGGAGCCTGGACAGGGTTTTCAAAAATGTAAAAACAAAACAGTCAAAAGCAGTATTACCAGAATTAAACGATTTCCTTCAACATGAAGTGTTATTTTTTTAATAAAAAGTTTATTTAAATATATCGCTGTCCAAAAATCACCAGAAATAAGTTTTTAAAATTTTTCTCCTAATTATGAAATAGGTAAAATACACGAAATTTGGAGATTTTTCGCAAGATCTGGCATTTTTTGTGAAGTTGACCGAATATGAAGGTTTTTTACCACTGGCTTCCCTACTATAATATTTATTCAGATGTGAATGAAGTGCTGCTTTAAGATAATAAAAAATGATCTATTTTCATTCCAAGTTGACAATCTCTGATTTAAATACAGGGTGATACATACATTATCCCCAAAAAGACCCAAATCAGGTCTTCTATTTGAGATTTTTACTCAAATCTTTTTTATAAATATATTATCTCAAACAGATTAATTTAAGCTACTAAACTTTTAAATAATAATGAAATAAGAGCAGTAAGTAGCTAAAATTGAGTATAAACAAGCCAAAATAGAGTTTTTTAATGAATTTCAAAAGGTAAACAAATTTTAAATGCAGGTATTGATAAAGAAAATGCAATGTGACTAAAATGTCAACCTATCGACTCAATCTGACCTACTTTTTAAGGGTTCTTTAGTTATTTAGCAAAAAACCGCATGCACTTGTACAGAATCACATCAAAGAGTTTAAAACTACAACAGTTTTTTTTCCAATACACTGACTGCTTCATTCAATATTAACTTGGAATATTTACTTCGAAAATATAATAGAAAATTAGTTAGAAATGTTATATTTTTAAGCAAAATAACTAGTTTTACAACTAATATTTCAAATAAACTGGTATTAATTCTAAAACAATTAATAAAAGCTTATAAAATGTAATTCAAAACTAAACATTAATAGGTATGACTCAGAGAACGTTAAGACAACAATAGAAATCTCAGAACAATTTTAGACACAAATTCACTTGAACTAAACCCTTTCTAAACATCCTATTTTACGTAAAATGTGTACTTTGGTGTCTGATAAGTAAAAAAATACTTACATTTGATGACTTACCTTAAAATATTACAACAATTATTACAGTAGAATCTCTAATTATAAAAATATCACTATACCTTTAGGAGTATGTCAAAGAATATCCAAAGGCTACTGCGAATAATTCATAGGAAACTCAAGGACCCCCAAAGCAGAGACAAACAAGAAGTAAGTGTTCATCAAAAATTCACTTAAAAATTCATTTGAATGACCATGGTTTTTGAGTAGACTTTCAGTTAGGTACAGTTAATAATTCTCCAATACCACACGTCGGCATACAATTAATTAGTGTAAACAATAAATGTTGGATCAGATACAGGAATAATTAATAAACAAAAGACGCGAGTAGTAAGTAAACTTAACAATAATGTGCATAATCAAATGTTTTGTGGGAGGATTTGGCATAGCCAAGGTTAATGTCATTTAACCCTATTTGTGAGGGTTTGAGGGAAGTTGTAATTTGTTAATAATATTGGAAATAACTTACCAAAAACAATAACAAAAGGACGCTGGTCAAAGAGCACTAGTTTTCGTTAAACATGTCAATTTCCACGACCGACGCACCACATACACACACCTACAAAACGTATGCAACTGTCAAAAAAGAACGGGTTATGATTTTTTTTTGTTTTCTCTATTAATTAACTAATGATGCATTGATTGCTAGATATGCCAACTCACCTGCATAAATTTATGTAAACAGATGATATAAAGTAGCTAGAAAACGTGGAAAACGAGTACTTTAATTGTTTTTTTTACAAAATTACAGAAAGGAGCTAAGGAAAGGAGCGAGGGGCGTGAAGAAACGAAGAACTGTACTGTGTATGTTTGGTTGCCTAAGAATATTCTCAATTCCAAAAATAAATTTATATTAATTAATTCCATTAAAATAGAAGATTGTCCAAATATGTAAAGTAAATTAAATAAAAATTAACTTAACAAAATCTTTTTCACTTTAAATGTATTGTGCAAATGCAAAAAATAAAATTATTCTTGTTTACTGTATACTGTATGAAATAAGATTATTTCTACTGCATTTATTTACTGGAAAACTGCGCATATATTTTTTGAAATATATGTATATTTTTTAATTAATTATATTATATTAAGATGTTATATTGATAAAATGATTATATTAACAAAAAAAAATAGAAAATAAAAAAGTTTTCGCCCAACGTGGGGCTCGAACCCACGACCCTGAGATTAAGAGTCTCATGCTCTACCGACTGAGCTAGCCGGGCTTGTGGTAAGTTTTCTTTAAAACTTGTAAAGAAACGTTGGATTAAAAATAATTTTTATAAATAAATTATATTATTTTTTAAACATAATAACGCCATATAGGTTGTTTATAGAATATTAATTTGTTTATAATTTAATAACCAGAGTTTGACTATACTATTTTTTAAGATTAAAGAAATATTTAAAATAACACTGACCTTTGACACGTTTGACACTGAATTTTGACAGCGATAAATAATGGGCACTTGAAGATAACTTTTCTTCCAATATTTTTAGGAATTAACGTGTTTTTTTAAAAAAATCTTTATAACAACTCTTAGATTTTATATAAGGCGATTCCCTAGGCTAGGACACGCTATAAAATGTCTCAGGAACACATTGGTTACCATTCGAAAAGAAGTTCTTTGATCAGTAATCATTCTGGTACAGTAAAACTATTTTAATGTTTTTTATTTTACTTTCCATTAATTACTGCTGGATTATATAATGAGAATGCTTATTTATTTTAGATGAAGACGATATTGAGGTAAAGCATTCATCACTGAGCTACAAAGAACGCAGAAGGGAAGCTCATACACAGGCAGAACAGAAAAGAAGGGACGCTATTAAGAAAGGATACGATACTTTACAAGAACTAGTTCCTACTTGCCAACAAACGGATGTATCAGGTAATACTTCAACTATATATGATCTAAATAAGTGTTTTAGTAAAATATTTTAATTAGGGTATAAGCTAAGTAAAGCTACAGTTTTACAAAAGTCTATAGACTATATCCAATATTTACAACAACAGAAAAAGAAACAGGAAGAAGAGAGAAACGCTCTACGTAAAGAAGTGATAGCATTGAGAATAATGCAGACCAATTATGAGCAAATCGTGAAGGCTCAACAGTCCCAGCCTGGACATACAGAGACACCGGTTTCCGATGAAGTAAAATTTTCTGTTGTAAGTAAAAAAAGTTTTTCTTCTAGGGTAGACAAAACTGTTTTTTTTTATAGTTTCAGGCTATTATGGAGCAGTTGTTTGTAACATTTAGCTCAGTCTCTGTGAGTAATTTTACAGAGTTATCTGCCGGAGTTTTTGGATGGTTAGAAGAATATTGTAAGCCACAAACACTAAAAGATACGGTTTTTCAAGTGTTACGTCGGCACAACGGCCAATTGCGTGGATGATTTTTAATATTTACCAGGAAAAAAACCTTTATACATATAGAATTTTATTTTTTTATTATTTAGAAGTCTATAAAATAGAATTTTAGTACTTTTTACGTTTAAATTTTGAGAGAAAAATCAAGCTCAACATATATATGAATATTTCGATGTACAAATATGAATTGTGAATAGTTTATATAGCTTTTTGTGTATATGAAGGCGAATGTGATGGTATTTATAGAATATTTTTGTTAATTGTTGCAGTATAATATATACTTTATATATTTTTAATATACATATTAATGTGTTTATGTTGAAAAACGAAAAAAAAAGTGAAAATTTTGGTAAAATAATTATATTTTTTAACCCTCTTATTGCTAGGTAATTAACAAAAAATATATTTTTGGTATTTTACATGTATTATTAAGCACCATAAATGCTGCTTTTTCAAGTCAGTCCATGTTTACTAATACAAATATAGCCACAAGATTTTTAGTTGATAATTTACAGTAAAAATGTACAGAAGAAAAAAAGAAAGTTAATATTATAAAATATAATGCTGCTTTTTGAAGTCAGTCCTTGATTATAGCCACAGGATTTGTATTTTGCAATTTACAGTAAAAATATACAAATAAAAACAAAGTTAATATTATAAAGTTGGATATTCTTGAGCTATATTTGAAAAATTCAACAAAGAACAGTTGAAACTATTCCTGGTATCCCATAGAACATTTTTGACCATATTGGTAAAAAAGCCAGTATAAAGAGGCTTTTCTGTGTATCTACAAAGGAAAAAAATCATAGAAAATAACATAAAATTAAATTTAAACACTTAAAAAGCACCTTTCATAATGGTCAAGTAAATCTTGCAATTTTAGTGTCAAACTGTCATAGTTCTTTTTAACTATGTCTAATATTTGTTCTTCTGAAGGCGTGGAAAGGTTTGCATTGGCCAGCCATTGCTCAATTTTCGGGGAAAAATGCTTTATTATCGCCCTAACGTTAAACAGAGCGTTATTTAGCTTTAGAGCGTCTTCTTTGAAGTCCCCGTCGCCCATGGAGTATCTCAAAGCTGTTGATAAGGAACATTTTTATTGATAATAAGGTTTTTATTGTTATAAAACTCTTACCCATTGAGTACACATTATCAAAAACCTGGTGCATTCGAATAATTTCATAATACAGCTCATCATAGCTACCAGGGGTTGGTAAAAAGTTATCTCCGTAAGTTATAAAGAAATTCAGTATGTTCACTACCTTGATGGACAGTTCAAAAACGTTCATTTTTTTACCCAAATAATTTTCGTTCTGTAATATAAACCTTAACAAAGATATCAGGGCTGTCCAAAGTCCTTTCCAGACGTAATTAACCCTAATCCTACATTTTTTTTGGTAACAAAGAATTCTTTGTATAATCCCTACACAAAGAATGTATAGTTCCATAGGGAATTTCTTCATCATGTGGCTCAACATGAATTCTTCCAACAAATCTGTTAAGAAATCATTTTTTTTTAGAAAATAAGTTCAATTAAACTTACAAGAACAATTTACCCAGTAAAGTACAGACTAAAGATTGACTAGATGTTGTTTTATCATTAGTTACTTTCCTGTGTCTCATTGGTAATCTATGAAGTCTAACTTTAAAAGTCAAACTTACATCGTGCATCAATGAATTTGCATACTGATCCTCTGTGATACAACCCAATATAAGAAAACAGAGCTTTACAGTGTTTGTTCCTGCCTCTGTCTTTGTATCTTGCATGACTATAGAGCTGGAACATTGCAAACCCACAAATACAATTAATTTTGAACATATCCTACCAAGATATTTACCAATACTGAAAGAACGAAACCAGTAGGTTGGATGGTTGTGAATTCACATCAAAAGTTAGATTGGACAGGTCAGAAAGTCCTTGTACTTGATTGTGTAAAGTATTATTTGGTGATGGTGGACTACTAGTATCAGTTTGGGTTTGAGCTAGCGTAGTTATGAAGTTTCTATTCAAATGGACAGCTTCGTAAAACGCCAATAACAAAGCGTTATTTGCTCTAAAAAAAATATTTTTACATGAATATAAAGATTCTAACATAAAAATTTAAATATATTATGCCTTATTTGTTGGTTCCTATAGCCTCCTTCCTCCGAAACAAACATATTTCCCACCATATTCGTTAAAGATGAAAACCAGCCAGAATTCTGTGTCTCTACATGTTCCACGTTATACTGATTACAAAATTCTGTAAGGGATGATGTTATTACTTGACTGTACCCATTTAAAGCTAGTTCATCATCCAGAATTGACAATTTTACTACATACGGGTTTGTAGCATCGTATTTCCTGTAGTTTACTAATAAAGTAATTATTAATACTACGTCGTATCCGTGTTTTTGTCTGGTAGGGGAGTGTGATAACAGTTTAACTAAACAATCAAACAAGGGAGACAACATAATATATTCTATAACACTATTATGGTTGATATTGTCGGTTCCAATAATAAAAATTATTAATAGTTTTAAGCATAGTCCCTTTACAGAGTCCGTGTAATCACCTAGACAAAAGAATAATAAATTTTAGCTAAGTTATCTTTTAATTATTAAACATAAATACCTATTAAAAATGTTTGGCAAAATTCCAACAGTTTTTGGATATTTTCTGCATAATTATCGAAGCCAGATAAAAACTCTATCGCGTGGACATTGCTGGCTGGTTGATTTTCACTAAACTTTTTAAAAATACCGTGCAATAGTGCACATAGAGTTTGTAATCCGTAAGGAGCTCGAATAGTATTTCCCTGGCTCAAAACTTCAATACAATTGGTAAAAAGTTCGTTTAAGTTTAATTTGGCCGCTTGGAGTTGCTCGAACGTTATCTTGTGGATCTCGTTTTCCAAATTTGTTACTTTGGGTTTGAGTAGAAAGAATTCGTCCCATGATAAGGGATTATTTGATGCCAAATCTTCGCCTTTTAATATTGTCTCGTAGATTTGAACGACTTTTTCTTTGAATTGGCGTTTTGATCCACTGCCGCTGCGCTTTCTCGACATTTTAACATAAAAATTCTATTTATTTATTTAATTCTTTAAGATAAAATAAAATTTAAAGCCGCAAAAGGAGTGTTGACATTTTTTTAAACTTTTTTTGACAATTAAAAGTAGGGTTAACATCTAATTAAGTTTCCTTCTGTCATCTGTGGTGGCCACCATAGAGTAAGTAAGTGATTGCTTTAAAGAAATTATATATGATAGTGATAATAGTCATCAGAAAAAAGTGAAATAAATTGGGACAGACAAATAATATTTCCAAATAAATTCAGATAATGAAGTTGTTTAAATGGATCTACAAAGAAATTATCGCCAATTTAAACAGACAACAAAGAAACGAAAATTAGAACCTTTGTTTACATAAGATTTTGGCGTTTTAATCAGCTGTTTATCAACCTCCAAACAAATAAACATGTGTATATATAACAATATTAACTAATAAATTATTTCGTATTTAACATAATGTCTGAACCGTGTCTATTGTCGAAAGTGGCAGAATTACTTCGCCCAGTTAGTAAGGATGTGTTTAATGGCAAAGGAAAACTGTGTCTTTCTACGTTGTACTTGCAAAAATTGAACAGTGCTTTCGATGAACATGTTCCAGAAGACTTGTCCTCGTCCTTTAACGTTACTGATACCAAAGCACACCTACAAAGAGACCTACACTTTCTATTAGATCTTGTTACAGGTACAGTGGCCTTAAAACTAACACCAGACCTTATAGGTAACGAAGAACAACATGAAATCAGTCTAGGAAGGTTTGGAAATTTAAAAGCATTAGAAATTCATAAGATAGACGTGAAAACTATCACAGGGATACAGAAATTAAGGCCTCAAATACAGGAATTGACCAATGTGCACAATTTAGGTTGTTTAGGAGATGTTTTAGATAAATGCGGAGGTGATATGAGTCAAGGACACTTATGGAGTGAGCTGAAGAAAGCCAATTTTTCTCATAATCATATAACGGAAATAGACAATAGTTTAGAATGGACGCCTTGGTTGGTTACTTTGGATTTAAGCCATAATCAGCTGAAAAGTGCGGATTTTGTCAATACATTGCCTAATTTGAAGCATCTGAATGTTTCTTTTAACAAACTGGACAAAGTACCAAAGTTCAAGGGGCAGATTTGTAAAAGATTACAGGTATAGTTAATCTATTTGAGATAAACCATTATATTAATCACAGATTATTGTTTTTTTTTATCTTTTTGTTTAAACAGGTCCTGATATTGAGTAATAACTTTGTAGAAGACTTAACAGGCTTGATAAATCTGTCTACCCTTCTTCAATTAGATCTAAGTCAAAATTGCTTGATGGATCACAACAGTCTCATGTCTATAGCACACTTACCCTCCCTGTATTTCTTAAATCTTCAAGGAAACCCTGTATATTTCCATCCCCATCACAGAAACACTACTTGTCAGTACCTGAACAAAAACACGGCAACTTTGAACTTTGTTTTGAACAACATTCCTTTGAATAAAGCTGAAAAATCGTTCGCCGGTAGCAGGCATCCGATAACTCAGAGTTCTCTAAGTTCTAGTAACGATTCTTCGTTGAATTCTCTTGAAAATTCTGTGAATGAGAGGCAGAGGAGGGTGCGCAATGTAACGATACAGGAAGGGCATAGTGTGGTGGCAGAGCCAAAGAAGACTCCTGTGTCTACACCTAAACCGAGTACTGTTCATTTGGAGATGAAAAAACAGGTGGGTAGTCTTTATTTGGGGCGTCAAGTTGCAAAACCCGCCTTATCCATTTTTTTTAAAAAATGGCATAATGACATTTATATTAATAGTGGACCCTGAAATCTACATAAACATAGTCACAAACAGCAGCAAAAGTCGCCTATTCCTATATAAAAGTCACTACCAAATATGTTACTGCAACAAAATCCATCTTATCCGAATTATTTTTGTGTTTTTTCTATTTAAAAATTAAATATTCATTTTTATTTCTAGAAACACGAGATAAAAAACAATGATTCCATGCAATGGACACGTTTTTTGTAAAATAACGCTTCAAACATTTGCTAAAACAGTTTTTGAATATTATCTCGAAACAACGTTTTTGGGATAAGACAGGTTTTGCAACTTGACGCCTCATACTCTTATTTACTTTTTTATATTTTTATTTATCTTTTGGTTGTAGAAAATATCTCACCTTTAGAAGAGGGTAAACGTTTCTTATTTCCGAATATTTTTCCCTTTTTCTTCTAACAATATTATGTATTTTGTTTGATTTAGGAACATTTATACATTGATTCTAGAACACCATAAAATATGAGAGTAAATTTTCTAAAAAAATATATTTACAATTTTGTTCTGACCCTACTACAAAAATTGAGATATTTTAAAATTTCTTTCAAAAAAAAGTGTGAGTTTTTTAGGAACGTTTTTTAAACCACCCGTATATAAATTCTAGCTTGTGACTATCACGCTCGCTTGAAAACTTCTTTTATCTGCTGCTGATAATTTGTACCAAATTTTCTGCTTCCCATACATAGTAGTTCATTTGTACCAGTTTTCCTGCTTCCTATACATAGTAGTTTATTTGTACCAAAATGTCTGCTTCCCATAAATAGTAGTTTATTTGTACCAGAGTTTCTGCTTCATATACATAGTAGTTCATTTGTACCAAAATTTCCTGCTTCCTATACATAGTAGTTCATTTGTACCAAAATGTCTGCTTCCCACACATAGTAGTTCATTTGTACCAGAGTTTCTGCTTCATATACGTAGTAGTTCATTTGTACCAGATTTCCTGCTTTCTATACATAGTAGTTCATTTGTACCAAAATGGCTGCTTCACATACATAGTAGTTCATTTGTACCAGTTTCTGCTTCATATAAATAGTAGTTCAGTTGTACCAACATTTCTGCTTCCCATACACAGTAGTTCATTTGTATCAGAGTTTCTGCTTCATATACATAGTAGTTCGTTTGTACAAAATATCTGCTTCCCATACATAGTAGTTCATTTGTACCAGAATTTCTGCTTCCTATACATAGTAGTTCATTTGTACCAAAATTTCTGCTTCCTAGATAGGATTCCAATGATCCTTGCTTTGCTGGTTTATCGACTTTTTCGTTGCCTTGGATCACCTAGAATAATTTAATTCTGTTCTGATTAAATTTTCTGCTTTCTTATTTTAACACCAGAAATTGAAGCTCCAATTGTATTTTTTGCTAGGTCGAACAACTTCGAAAAGAATACGGCGACACCTGGCTATACCGACATTCCGGAGTAATCTTCCAAGACGTTCTAGGCTTTGAAAAATCCACAGTCCTGAGCTCCACACCCTCAGAAAACCACCTAGGCGACCTCTACTTCGCCAAAAACGAAGCTTCGAACGACAGCGGCCTATTTGAGACAGCCAAAGAGGAACAGACCACCACAGATGCAAAAGAGAACTTCGAAACAGCCGAGGACAGCGATTTTTTCATTTCGCATGATGAGCCTGCTGTTGAAGAGGAAGAGGAACCTTTGTCAGATGATGATGACGCTTTCAATGGCGAAATGTTCTACGCTGCGACGGGATCTGACGGAAAAGAATGCGACTTGTGTCTTATTGTGACTGAAACGCACTTGTCGGAGAGGGATAGTGTATCTGTCAAGGAGAAAGCAAGGTAAGTGCTTTGAATAAAAATATTAAGGAAGGAGTATAATGCTATCTATGTATTCATGCAGGGTAGACGGAGGTGGGGTAGAGGTGGGAATTCCAGTTCCTTGGGAGAAACTAGTTCCTTAGTTCTTAGTCGGAATAGTTCATTGGAACTAGTTCGTTCACGAACTACACACCTCTGAGGTGGGGATCCTTGACGGTTCTGTTTAACGATTCATTTGACACATTTGAATTTGTCAGTCTTTACTGAACTTATTTTATGTTATTATTTATTCTACAACTGGTAGTTGTTTAGGGGTAGTAAATCTAGAAGGAAATTATGGCGGAAAAGTTAAATTATCAGTGTCACTGTTAATTGCGATTTATCGAAAAAAAAAACTGTAAAATAGTTGGTTGTATAGCATGCGGTAGATCTCGGTCAAAAATCGAGGGAAATAATGGAATAACTTTTTACTAGTAAGTGACTATACCGTGCTGGCAACTGTTACTTTTGGGTTGGTATTTACATGTGTGGAAGTAAATTGCATAGGGATCTTATTAAGTCGGAGTGAGAGAAATGCGACGGTGTGCTGTTGCGACGTTGCCGGTACACCTTTCCGTATCAAGTAAATTAAAATCACGACCGCAAACCGCCTATGGGCAAAGTCACCCCACTTCACGCTACCAACTTTTCAACTACCAACATTTATTGACAATGTAAAATAAAACAACAAATTATTGAGTCTATCCTACATCATATTTTCACGCGTTTTGATTAAAATTAGAACGGCACTGATAAATCGAAATTTAAGTCGGCCATTTTTGGTCCCCATCGCGATCAAGCTCAGTTTTTTGATATGCTCCTTCCTTAATTTTTTTATTCAAAGTTACTATCACTTCTGTATAGCTAAGTTATTATTTTAATTAAACTTTTTCTTGACAGGTGGAATTTGAACGTGGTTATATCATGTGAAGTAGGTTCTCTACCCAACGAAATACAAATAACATTCGACACGATGAGAAAAGACAGACAGAGCCGGACTTATTACATAGAAGACACCGAAAAATTCGTGAATTTGGTCCAGTCAAAGATAGTTAACGAAAAAATCGACTACCAATGCATGAAGTGCAATGAGTCCTTCTCGAGGACAAAAAGTAGGGATAGAAGAGAAAGAGAGAGTGAGAGCAGCGTAGTCTGTCCGAAATGTCAAAGTATTCATGTTATAGAGGTGTAAAAATTAATTTTCCTAAAATATATCAGATTTTTTTATAATAAATTATATTTTAGTTGTCTGTATTAAAGACTGTTAATTATTTAAACATTGTCCTTGTAAAATTTTATAAATATAGCGTCTAATTTTATTAAATTTTTATGTGTTTTATTGATCCTTTTAGTTTATTGGCTTATCTATACCTACTAATACAGACCGGACCACCGTAGTAGTAACATAGGCAGAACCGGACGAATTAGCGTATACCCGTCCGCCGGATAAAAAGCAGGCGAAAAAATGCGATAAAATAAAAATAGGTAGATATGTGATAAGAATTTGTATTTATTCGTGTTTTAATAGCCAACGAATACATTGATTCTCGCGATAGTTCTCGTGTAAAATTTATTTTTTAAGTAAAATAATGGATGTTTACGAAGTTCGTGAGAAAATTCAAATTGTAAAATGGTATTTCCAAAATAGGTCTTATCGGGATATACAAACAATTTTTCCACAAACTTTTGTAAACATGCCAATTCCATCTCTACCTACTATATCAAGAGTTAATAATAATTTTGAAGCACATGGGTGCGTGTCCCCACAAAAACACAAAAAGGCTGATGTGTTGATTAATGAAGAACAGGAGTTAAAGCAAGTGTTCATTTGTGCTACCGCGGATCAAAATCCCACGTTTTCAAGTAATCAAATTGCTGAGGTGGTTACCCTGCCCACAATGCCTGTATTGTTCAAGAATATTTGAACAATACTTTTCCCAGCCGTTTAATTAGTGGATATGGAACTATTTTGTGGCCCGCTAGAGCACCAGATCTTTCTCCCAATGATTTCTTTTTGTGGGGTTATGTAAAATCCAAAGTGTATGGTCATAATAGGGCTAGAATTTTTAGAAGAATTTAGAATGAGTGGGAGGGGGGTTAATCACCTCGACCTTACAGATCCATTGTGTCCCCCTTTCTTGAATCATAACTCATCATACAGTCCCAGGGCTTTGACAAAAGCCAGTATCTGGGACGGTTTTATAGAGGGTAGTTCTCCATCTCCAATATCAGTCGTACCAAAATTCATGGCACGAATGGTTGTCGTCTCGGCGCACTCAGTGATGAGGTGTACTGGTGTTTCACCATCTTCCCCACAGAATCTGCATTCGCCGTTTCTTCTTAGTTTCAATCTACTGAGGTGTTCATTGATGAGACAGTGTCCTGTTAAAACCCCGTGACAATCCGAAGATTGTTCTTACTCAGACCCAGGAAGATCTGTGATTTTTCTTGATCATAAGCCCTCAGAAACTTCTTCGAGTGTCTTAGACCATTGCAAGATTTCCTTTCCAGGTTGCGGATGGAATCTTCCAAGTTCTTGAGTTCCGCCTTGAGTTGGTTACCACTTGGAAAGCAGAATGGTTCTGGTCCAGTTAGTGGAGTGTTCGATCCTTTCCTAGCTAGATTATTTGCTTTTTCATTGCCTTCTATCCCTTAGTGAGCAGGCACCTAGTGTAGGATAACTTTGTTTTCTTTGCCTAATTTATTCAGCTTCTCTATGCATTCTTTGACCAATTTCGTATTGATTGATACTGAGTTGATCGCCTTTAACGCTGCTTGACTATCAGATAAGATGGCTATTTCTTGTTTCCGATAGTTCCTATCTAAGATAAGTTGTACGCATCTCTCGATAGCGTAGATTTCTGCCTGTAGGATACTAGGGTAAGTGCCCATTGGTTCGGAGTAATTAGCTCTCGGCCCAAACACTCCGATCCCTGTTCCCGTATTGGTTTTGGAAGCATCAGTATACCAAGTTATGGTATGGTCTTTTAACTGCTGGGCAAGCGTTTCGCTCTTCCAATCCTTCTTATTGCTCAATACTACATTGACATGTTTGTCAAAGTTGTACGTTCTTGGCATATCGTCCACTGGGAGTTGCAGGAGTGGTATTTCCTTTTTGAATAGGGCTAATAATCTGGATGAGCTTCAAGTAAAAACGCGAGAGGCTTTCCGAACTATTAGCCCTAATATGTTAGCCAATGTCAGACGGGGATTTTACGACGTTCTGTCTAGCACAAGAAGGTGGTCTTTTTGAACAAATCGGGTAAACGTAAATTCGTCCGGCAACTTGCTATGGTACTAGTAGCCTTCTCAGTATATAAAATCCCAAAAATTGTGCAACATTAGCCGATTCGTTTGATATACACAAAATTCAATTTCGTGACAGATGGGGGGGAAATTTCAAATTTTCAACCGCTTATAACTTTCGTCAGAAGGGTGTGCAAAATTCAAAAACAGGTGTGCAAAATTAGCCGAATCGATATACATAGAAATAAATCAATTTCGTAACAAATGGGGGGGAACGGTCAAGTTTGCCCCCCGTTTAAAAAACGGCTCTAGTTTCTCTTAGGTAAGTGTACAAAATATCATTTATGGTGTGCAAAATAGTGGTATATCTCTTTTTGAATTTCCTCTAGTACGGGGGGCAAACTTGACCGACCTGGCAAATACGACTGTAGTAGGGGCAAAAAGAAACAAAATAGCGAATAACGCGGCGCGTTCGGTGCGACTCAGTGTGCGCGACAAGAAAGAAATGCGCGATTCGTGCGGCAAGTGCGGCGCGGGTCAGTGTGCGCGTACCTTAAATCGAAATAAAACACCAAACTTCGTACTTTTCACACAAATAATTTATTAAGTAAATAAAATATATGGAGTACATTGTACATTCAATTTTTAAAATAGACTTTTTTTGTAATTTTTTGTCCTTTTTTTAAATATAATGTTCTTTCTATCACACCTACCGACTAATCGTTCAAAAATAAACAAAAAAGGTCACTTTTGAGTCAACCGAATCGTGTGTTCTTTTTCATTATATTTTTTTTTGTATTATTATTATTATTATTTATTTTCGTTAAAAGTTTAGAGAGTGGGGGGTGAGGGGGGTGATTCACGGGGTGAAATTATTTTAATTTTGAATTTTACCATTTAACCTGAATAAAAATTGTTTTAATATACAGGGTGGTTCGAATTGTAGTCGAGAAACTTCGGCAACATATTCTACAGATAAAAATAAGTAAAAAAGTTCGTTTATGTAGATAGTGTCATTTTTATTCAGTTTTTTCCTAAATAATTTCCGAACGAACTTTGTCTGGGTGTATTTTTACATGATAAATTCGATTTCGATGTTAGTTTGACTCCTATTTGTCGGGGGCGCGACTTACACGTTTCTCAACTGTTTTAAAAAGTAATAATTTTCGTCTGTACATGTATTACACTCTACTGAGGGAAAAATATACATTTCTCATATCAAAAAACTCCCAGACACCAATTTTCATCCAAATATTGACGTTACTTCAGAAATTATTCGAAAAAAATCGAAATAAAAATGAAACTTCTACACCCTGTATCTCCGAAACTAAGCATTTTAGAACATAAATCTATACGAACTTTTTTACTTATTTTTATCTGCAGAATATGTTGCCGTAGTTACCCGATTATAATTCCGACCATCCTGTATTATCGATTTTTTGACTTTTAAGAAAAAAAATCAATAAAGAAAAGATAGCTTAGAATTTGCAAACATATACGATACTTTAATAAATTCGTTCAATAAAACATCTGGAAAACTCCTTCGTTCAATATGCCTAAACCTATGCCATAAGTAATTTTTACAATATTAATACTTTTTTTCCTGAAAAAAAAGTGTCAGTAAAAACGAGAGAAATAAAAAAAATAATATTTTTTAACACCCAAATTTAATGTTTCAACGTTTTTTTTTAGATCTCGCAAGTTCATAGGCGGTACGTCACGAATTGCTGAAGAAAAATATACGTTTTTTTCTACCCAAGTGAAGCTACAACAATTAAAAAACAAGTCCCTTCGTTTTCCTTTATATTGCACCGTATTTCTTTTTAAATGCAGCTCAAGATTTTTTATATACTCAGATGCAAAAAAAAACGCAACGGAAAAGATTTTCGTCGAATTTAAAGCATTTTTGTAAATTGTTAGCCCTATTGTCATGATTTTTTTAGCAAACTGTATATAAATATATCTACTTTAATTAGTAGTAAACTCAGTTTTTTTTATAAGTTTAGTATCTTGCTTATTATACAAAGTTAGGGTAAAAAACAACCCTTCAATTAACCCTGTATAATATGCCAAATATTAAAGATATTTATATACAGTTTGCTAAAAAATTCATAAAAATAAGACCAAAAATTAAAAAAATATAACGCTTTGAATTTGATAAAAAAAATCCTTTGTGTTTTTTCATCATCTGTATTATTTTTCTCGCACCAAAAACCTTCTGAAACTTGCCAGACCTCTTTTTTTTAAGATACAATAAGAAAACTAAGTAAACAAAATTGCTTCTCTCTTAACTCTATACAAAAAAAAATTGAAATTATATTATCTAACTAAAAGTGAGAATATATTATGCTACAAGAATCATTATTATTAGAAATTAAATAAATGGTTTTTGTTTTTATCGTTATTATTGTTTCTTATATTCTTCTCCTCCTCTGTTTTAGGGTTCACAATAATTAGGAATAAAAACGTTAAGTTATTATTATTTAAAACTTTTTTCTTTACATACTAAATTAGGTACTTATCATGTAAACACAACAAAAATGTGTTGTAATATAATTATGAAGCGAATAAAAATTAAAGTAAACTGGCAATATACAAACTTTTTTTGTGCTCTGAATCAACTAAAACATGTATCCGCTTCACTGAAATAATTATCAAAACATATATACACAGTATGTAGAAGAAATTTGAACATATATGCGAATTTTTTTTAATTATTTTTTATTTTTAGGTCCAATATCGTGGTTATTGACGCAGATATGAGAAAAGTTTTGTATAAATATATTAAAAATATTTTGTTTTATACAGGGTATCCCAAAAAAAGTAATGATCAAGTTGCAAGCTTTTTAAATAATTGTAATCCCCTTTTTCAGTACATGTTTTGATTCAGCATAAAATTCCGAATATAGTACACTATTTTTATTTGATGGAATATGCGCTGTTGCCATGCTGTTTCTTGTTTACTGAAAATTTGGTTAAAAACAGTATATTCGAAAAGTGGTTAAAACCTACAATGAATTTAATAGCACTTAGCTTCATTTTCTTAAAGGCCAAAGATAGACGGAATAAGAAAAAAGATGCAGAATTAAGTAACGAACATTTTTTGTATTTAAAGTGTTCCTGAATTTCTAACGGTTCTGCAGATATTCGCGATATTACATTGCATATGGCCCTTTCAAAAAAAAACTTTGATAAAAATTTACTCTTGAAAGAGCCATATTATGTAATATAACCCCGAGAATATCTGCGAAACCGATTCCGAATATAGTACACTATTTTTATTTGATGGAATATACGCTATTGCCACGCTGTTTTTTGTTTGCTGAAAATTTGGTTAAAAACAGTATATTCGAAAAGTGGTTAAAACCTACAGTGAATTTAATAGCACTTAGCTACATTTTCTTAAAGGTCAAAGATAGACGGAATAAGAAAATTCCATATCTCATTTTTTTAATGCAACACCCTGTATATTATTTTTCTTTTAGATGCAGAATTTAGTAACGAACATTTTTTGTATTTAAAGTGTTCCTGAATTTCTAACGGTTCTGCAGATATTCGCGATATTACATTACATATGGCCCTTTCAAAAAAAAACTTTGATAAAAATTTACTCTTGAAAGAGCCATATTATGTAATATAACCCCGCGAATATCTGCGAAACCGATTCCGAATATAGTACACTATTTTTATTTGATGGAATATGCGCTGTTGCCATGCTGTTTCTTGTTTACTGAAAATTTGGTTAAAAACAGTATATTCGAAAAGTGGTTAAAACCTACAGTGAATTTAATAGCACTTAGCTACATTTTCTTAAAGGTCGAAGATAGGCGGAATAAAAAAATTCCATATCTCATTTTTTTTAATGCAACACCCTGTATATTATTTTTCTTTTAGATGCAGAATTAAGTAACGAACATTTTTTGTATTTAAAGTGTTCCTGAATTTCTAACGGTTCTGCAGATATTCGCGATATTACATTACATATGGCCCTTTCAAAAAAAAACTTTGATAAAAATTTACTCTTGAAAGAGCCATATTATGTAATATAACCCCGCGAATATCTGCGAAACTGATTGCGAATATAGTACACTATTTTTATTTGATGGAATATACACTATTGCCACGCTGTTTTTGGTTTGCTGAAAATTTGAAAACCTACAGTGAATTTAATAGCACTTAGCTACATTTTCTTAAAGGTCAAAGATAGGCAGAATAAGAAAATTCTATCTCATTTTTTTTAATTTAACACCCTGTATATTATTTTTCTTTTAGATGCAGAATTAAGTAACAAACATTTTTTGTATTTAAAGCGTTCCTAAATTTCTAACGGTTCCGCAGATATACGCGGTTTTACATTATATATGGCCCTTTCAACAAAAGCTTTGATAAAAAATTACTCTTGAAAGAGCCATATTATGTAACATAAAACCGCGAATATCTGCGAAACCGTTACAAATTTAAGAACACTTTAAATACAAAAAATGTTCGTTTTTTAATTCTGGATCTCAAAGAAAAATAATATACAGGGTGACGCATTTAAAAAAATTGAGATATAGCATAATAAATGTTGCAATGTTGTATAAGTAATGTAAGTTTTCCTTATTCTTGGTGGTTAGGAAAATACCGGTATTAATAAAAAGTTAAATTTACTCTAGGTTTTTTTAATCAAAGTTTCAGTAAACAAGAAATAGCATGACAACACCGCATAGTACTTCAAATAAAAATAGTGTACTACATATGCAGAATTTTATGCTGAACACAATACTGTGCCGAAAAAAATTGGGGGTTGAAATTTGAAATAACTTTTAACAAATTTATCATTCCTTTTTTTTGGGACATCTTGTATACAACGAAATATTTTTAGGATATGCACCTTTATAAACCATGCAACATTTATAAAAAAACTTTGTCAAGAACGACGCTATTGGACGATAACGTTCACATTCATAAATGTGAACTTTTCCCCCATATGTGTTCGAATTTCTATTCCACTCTGTATATAGACAGTTTTGAACATAACGAAATATAAACTCGATTCATAGAAAAGAAGATAACCCCGATAACTACCATTTATCGACGGCTTCAAACCAGCAATAACTGACGAAGGACTGATAATACAATGGCTGAACGTCAGTTATAGAGAGGTAGAATATCCAACCCTTAGTTGGCAAACTCTCGTCTCGCGTAAAAAATAAAACAGGTAAAATGTTTTTTTTTCTTTCCTTCTAGGACAATTATTAGTGAAAAAAATTAACTGAACTTTAAAAAACAAGACAAAAAAAAAGTGTAAAAATCACACATTGGATATTTTCGATTCTTAGGGTTAATACTAATTCAAAATTAATTTGCGCATGCTCAAAACTAGGGGTTTTAAGAATTTTAGAAATAATATTTGACATATTAATGTTTATTCACAAATAAGTAAATGAAAAATCTCTAATTCCTAAAAATATCTGTAAAGTTAGGTTAACTCACAACATACTGTAACTCACATGAGCGCAAGCGCATACTAGGATATTTTTAAGACAAGTAGGAGAAGTATTAACGGCATTTCCTTAAAATCTTAGGGTCAATGTTCAGGATACGGTTAGGACTTAGGACTAATACAAGTATGAACCAATCAAAAAAATTGTCACTGTCAAATCAGGAATAGCCTGTCATTACAAACTGTCAATTTGATGACGTATATGGCCTTGGATATTGTTTCTCCAATTTTACTAGTCCTGATAAAAAGCATATAATATTCAATCTAGTCAATATTAATATTTTTAAAAACATAAAACTTTTTTATATAAGATTTAGATTTTTTTTAGGAACAAAAATAGTATATTATTTAACGAAAAAAAAAATGAAACATGATACCAAATAGGCAAGTTATAGATTATTAGGAAAAGCTAACATTTTGAGAACCGCCGATTTATTCTTGACTTTTCTTTTTCTAAATTAAATTAACTACCGATGTTGCCGCATTAACACTAAAGTATACTATTTAACGAAAAAAAAAATAAAAATAAAAATAACCTTCAAAAAAAACCTCTCCGAGAAAAACTAAAAAAATATACATTGAGAAATAAACAATAAGAAACTAACTTAAGGCCATTTTAAGGAAAGAAATGGTACAGATAATACAGAGAACCTGTTTCATTTTCAACGCGAGACCTCAAAAAACCGCTGACTACAAAAATATGGCCATTTCTGCTCGACGCCAATCATAATAATAAAAATATACAAGGGAACATGCGATCCTTACTCTGTGTGTATTATTATTTTTAATTCTTCATCTTTGTCGCTTATTTTTTCATTTTAAATTTAGACAAATAGAGAATAATTAAAGCCCCTGAACGCAATCTTTTTAATATTAACATTATTATTATTATTGTACTGTCTACCTCGCTAAGTTTTTTATTTATTTATTTAAAACATTTTCTGCGCTTGTGGGATGTTTGGTATTTCGTTTTTTTGACTTATTTTCTTTTGGACAGAAAAACCTAAGCGTGTAAGTACTAAAAAAATTAGAAATCACGTAATTACACTTCAGTTAATTTTTGAAGAAAATTCGGGATTATTGATTTTATTTGTCCAGTCACTTTTTTTTCTAGTACCAAAGCAAAATTACTGGAAACAAGTCACGTAAAAGCTACAGAATACAGGGTTGTTCACCACATACGACACGGAGTATTGTAGCTAAACGATTATATTTTTACAAATTTCAAGTTTTGGGTTCGATGAAGGATTATTAGAGATAAGATAAGATACAGAGTGTCCCAAATAAGTAAAAAATATCAAAGTTGTATTTTTTAAAAGGAACACCCTGTATATTATTACATTTTTAGTTTCTACGATTAAAATAAAGGTAAATTTGATTAAGGTTTATTATACTTAAACCTATATTACCTTACCGTTTTTGAAATATTTTCAATTTTGTGAAATTGCAGTAAAATTTTTAAGGCTTCGTTTCTCCAAGGGTATCAACGTTTTTAATACTCAATATTTACTTATACGTATAAGGTAGTATTATTTTTATTATTACAACACAATAACTGATCAATAAATAAACTTCAGTAAATATTTAGTATTAAAAACTTTGATACCCTTGGAGAAATGAAGCCTTAAAATTTTTACTGCAATTTCATAAAATTGAAAATATTTCAAAAACGGTAAGGTTTAAGTATAATAAACCCTAATCAAATTTACCTTTATTTTAATCGTAGAAACTAAAAATGTAATAATATACAGGGTGTTCCATTTAAAAAAATACAACTTTGATATTTTTTATTTGTTTGGGACACTCTGTATGTTGTAAAACTATTTTTAAATTGTACCTCTAATGGTCCTTCATCGAACCCAAAACTTACAATTTGTAAAAACCTCATCGTTTAGCTACAATACTCCGTGTCGTATGTGGTGAACAACCCTGTATAATACATTTTTTTATAATATCAAAACTACGATAATTAAATTATTTCACTTCTTATTTCCACTATTTTTTCTTCAGATATATCAAAAGATTCATAAAATAGACTTTTATCAATAACCCCATAGGTTTTAGACGGAAAAAAATCATATACAGGGTGAGTAGTTTTTAATATCCAATCAGAGAGTATCTGAAGTTCTTTGTAATAAAGCCCAGTTGTCATACAATCAGTTCAGAATAAACCAAAATAATTTTTACTTCCCCAAAAAACTCTCTACAGAAAAATGTATTAAAATTGTCTGACTTCAAAACTGTCTCACCCTGTATATAAATCTTGTGGAACGCGGTGCAAGAGCATTATTGTACAAGCTACATCTAGAGATGTCTGGGAAAAAGAGTTAGGTATTTTCGTAGTTCTTTATACTTAACTTTAAAAAGATATTGTTTCTTCTTCTTTTCATAGTATTGGAGCAGGACCCCTCGGAAAAAATTCTTCGCTACGCCACAGGATTCAAAAAACATTTTGATATTGCAGTTCTGATTTTCGGAACGTACCTGTATATTATGTGTATAAATATTTGTATGATTTTTTGATATTGTTAAATTCACTGAGATGGGATTCTGTGGCTCTAGAAGTATATAGATTTTTGATACTCTGTATAACTTTAAGTGAAAATGTCTGTCAATTTTTTGTTGTGTAGATTAATCATAATATGTATATTAAATTTTGACAAAAATTGGATTTTGGATTTATTTTTACAGAAAGTAAAAGTGGTTTTTAAAAGTTATTTTGTTATGATAGCTGGTGAAAAATTTGTTAAACCTGCGGTTCTAAAAAGTTTTCCAAAATTTTGAGGAAAATATGACGATCTAATAATACAAAATGGCCCAAAAATTATTGGAACACAATACATACACCACAAATTCAAGATTTCACAGAATCCCACTACAGCATCGTTCTAAACAGATGTGCGGTACAATTATTTGAGGTTACAGCGATCGGGAGGGTAAAACCAGAGGCGTACCGAAGAAAAATTCAGAGGCGCGCGTATTGTACCCTACATTGACATTATCATTATTTTTTAGATTTTTGGCTAAAAACTATTTTAACTGGTTTTGCAGGCTGCAGCTACACATACTACGGAATTGAAGCGCTATATCGTGTGGTTTTTATTTGTTTTAACGTGTGTTGGAGGGGTAGTGGGGTCAGTGTAAATTATGCCGGACCCCGTGTTAATTTGTAAGTTAATTTGGTTGATTTTGTCGACAGACTCGTTATTTCGTCTATCCACGGCATCTGAAATCAATACATACACAAAATTGTTTTTTTTTTCATTTAAAAACTTTCATTTAGTAGTTCCGTAGTAAAAAGGTAAGGAATTTTTTCCCTAAATTTAGGGATAAAATTAATAAACTGGCAACATCGCACAAAAACTGAGTTTCTGTAAAGATCAGTCTTACTGCAGCTAATTTTTGTGTTCAAACTACTCCTCTTTCATAGCAAAAGAGTAAGGATTTTTTCCCTAAATTTAGGTATAAAATTAATAAACTGGCAACATCGCATAAAAATTCACTTTCTTTAAAAAAGATCAGCCTTACTGTAGAGTACTTTTGTGTCCAAACTACTATTGTTTCTTAGCAAAAAGAAAGAATTTTTCACTAAATTTATGTATAAAATTACTAAACTGGCAACGCTGCAAAAACTGACTTTGTTTAAAAAAGATCAGTCCTACTGTAGAGTATTTTTGTGCTCCAACTACTACTGTTTCATAGCAAAAGAGTAAGGAAGATTTTTTCACTAAATTTAGAGAAAAAATTACTAAACCGACAACATCGCATAAAAAAATGACTCCAGTTCAAATAAAACCGGCCCTATTGTCGAGTGTTTTAGACTTCAAATTACTATTGTTTCATAGCAAAAAGTAAAGAATTTTCCCCCTAAATTTAGGGGAAAAATTAGCAAAGGGACAATATTGCATAAAAAAATACCCCAGTTTAGGAAGATTGCTGTTATTGTAGATTATTGTTTTTTGTTTCAATTATTATTGTTCCGTAGCAGTTAAGTAGGAAAGAATTTTTCCCTAAATTTAGGCATAAAATTACTAAACTGACAACGCATGAAAAAAACTACAAAAGCTGAGATTGGTCTTTTAGGGTGCTTGACTGTTTCACTGCGCGTAATTACTATTATTCCATAGCAAAAAAAAAAGAATGTTTTCACTAAATTTAGAGAAAAATTACTAAACTGATAACATGAAATTTTCAATAAAAAATTTAAGGGAAAAATATTAAATTGACAACAATGTCAACAAAAAAATCATTGGTTTACTTCTACAGCGTTTTGGCGATCAAGTTTCCATAGCAAAAAATGGAATTTTTCCCTAAATTTAGGGAAAAATTATTGAACTGACAACATCGCATAAAAATCGACCCAGTTAAAAAAACGATTTATCTCATTGTAGAATGTTTCGGTGTTTAATACTGACCTTTATTTCTTCTCAAAAACCGATCCAAGACCGTTTTACACCTTGCCGCACCGTTTGCGCATCTTCGCCGGCTGATGTCTCGTCTTCTTCTTGGTCGACGGCTTTTCTTCTTCCTTTTCTTCTGAAGATTTCCGTTTGACGCCTCGAATTGAAGCGGCCGTGGCCGGGGAACTAGGTGGGGTATCGATCTGCCGAAGAAAATCGAAGAATTGTAAATCACCCTGTATATATATATATATAAAAAAATAAACGTACCTTTTTATCTTTAATTGGAGCATCTATTTCCGGTTTGGCCAACGCTTCCGGTTCAACGTCGACGGATTTACTAGAACCCTGTTCTGAATTCTGTACATTTAGTTCAGATATTGGTTCTAAACCTGCAACAACAAAAAAAAATCACTAAATATTCCCAACCCTTGTTCATAATTCAATTTTCCACCGGCCTGTACAAATATAGAAATATCATGCCGCCGGATGGCGGTATTTCTTGTTTAGTTAGCTTAGTCTAACAAGTTTTTTAGTCTAACAATACCGCCGGCGCGGTGGTTAAGCCAGTGCGAATTTAACAACAAAAAAAACAGTACTTACCTAAACCCTCGGGATTCACGCCTTGATTGACCAAAGCCTGTAACTCTTCGGGATGGGGAATTACGGGACTGCCACAGGCGTTACATACGGCGGGTGTAGCGGGTGATTTGCACCGCCAATATTGCAGTTCCGTTTTGCATTTGTTCAGTTCCTGAAGCAGGGTGCTGAATTTTCTAGAGATCTCTTCGTTTTCTTGTCGTACTCGTCCAATCTGAAACGATTTTAGTGCTTGGAGTCTTTGAATAAAGTTAATTCAGTGTTTACCCAATTTTATCACTGCAACTAACTCATAATTCCGTTAGATAATTTATTAAAAATTTGCATTCACTAGTGCCATAGCAAAAAAGTAAGGAAGATTTTTCCCTAGATTTAGGGAAAATTACCAAACTGACAACATTGCATAAAACTGACATTAAAAAACATTAGTCTTATTGTAGAGTATCTTTGTGTTCAAATTACTATTGTTTCATAGCAAAAAGGTGAGAAAGACTTTTTCCTTAAATTTAGAGATAAAGTTACTTTGGTGGTAATTTTTTTCTCTAAATTTAAGGAAAAAATACTAAAATGACAATAAAAACGACTGGTATTACTGTAGAATGTTTTGGTGTTCAAATTATTATTGCTCCATACTTCAAGTGAAACTTTCCCTTAAATGTAGGGAAAAAATTAGCAAAGTGACAATATTGCATAAAAAATTACTTCAGTTTAGAAAGATTGCTGTTATTGTAGATTGTTTTATTTTGTTTCAGTTATTATTGCTCCATGGCAATAAAGCAGGAAAGAAAGTTTCACTAAATTTAGGGATAAAATTACTAAACTGACAACATCGCATGAAAAAAAAACGACTAAAGCTGAAAAGGAGATTGGTCTTATTTTACAGTGTTTCGCTATTTTGTAAATTTAGTAAAAAGGAAGAATTTTTCCCTAAATTTAGAGA